AGGAAGTGACCCAAGTGGTTTACTCCCAAAACTGTGTTGTATCCATCAACTGTCTTGCTACCTGAACCAACACCTACAGGATAAAGAAATTGTATAACACCTTAATCAGCTCTAGTGCAGATAACAGAGGTGTGAACCTTTGGAGAGATGTTAAACCAACGGACCAACAGCAAGTTATGTTGGTTCAGGTGACTGCAAAAATCTCATGGAAATCAAAGGTGAGCAGGAGCTTCCCTGACTTTTCTAGCAAACATTCATCCCTTAACCAATACTGCCCAAAAAACATACATGATTGATTCAATGCACTGCTCTGTGTGAAACATGACTGCTATTTTTGCCCACACAACATTGCCCTCTCTTCACAGAAGACTATTGCGTGTGAAACGCTCAAATATGTCTGGGAGACTTATAAATGTAAAAGCAAATAAATTCACAGACTTTTATTTCTTTATAAATTCAGACTTCAGTTGAAATTACAGTTTACATTAAATGTAGTTAAATTTATTGTCAGCAGTGTTCCTCAACTACTCAGGTGAAAAATGCAACAAGTAGTTTGGATTCAGCAATGGGGTGGTGTCCAGGTATGGTTCTTAGCCTCTACTGTCAGCTGATCTCATTCAGGAAAGAAGGCAAAGATGCTATGTCAGGCCTGAGCATCTTGAATACTGAAAATAGGAAGATATAAAATCAGAGTTCCTGATGGGTAGTGCGCGCGCGTGTGTATGGGTATGTGTGATTTTTTGTATATATTATTATATACACAAACACATAATTGGGCTCCATGCTTACCATGGTTGACTGTCATGTCCTTAAACTCCCTCTAAAATTCTCAAATAAACCTGTTGGACTATAACCTGGTGTCATGTGATTTCTGACCTTGTCCATCCCAGTCCAACACCGGCACCTCCACATCGTCCCTCTAAAATTATTTACAATCAGCCTATTTGGATATTTTATGACACAATTCTGAGGCGGTGGGGACGTGACATTTTGACCATGAAAATAGTCAGGTGGTTGTTTTTGACCAGCACAAAACTCAATGGGCTGAAGGGTCATTTTCTGTGCTGTCGATCTTTATGACCCAGACATAGGAACACTGCTACGTCACAAGATCCCCTTTTTAATAGTTACATAGGAGCTACTTAACTGTGGCACTATACAGATGTCAGTGTCCTTGGAACTGTGCCCCAGAAACAATTCATTCAGAGGATGGAAAATTTGGAAATAAAACAAAACAATACAGGAGTAACGAAAAGTGAAGATTAAGACAAAAAATCGTTAATATTTCAAATCAACTGCTTAACATCATCTGGAATTTGTCTCGTTATATATTCTTGAATTTTTCTTGAAAGACATTCTAAATATTTGTCACCAGTTTCAATAACGAAATATTTTCTAAGATGCACTTTAAATTTTTCACTGATTTAAATATGTATCTGTCTCTGTTCCACTGACCTGACTGATTGAGGTAACGTTCATCAAATGTAATATTTTATATTTCCCAGTCAAACTGCCCATTAAATCACCTCCCATGCTGTAAGGGTTATACCCCTTTTTTTTCATAACTCATCTCCTCTACATTTACTAGGTCAAGCTTCTTGGTTTCTGTTTTCTTTCCGATACATGCATGTCTTTTTTGAAGTGACAACCCAGATTGCGTTTCAAATGGGTTTTCCAAAGGATGTCTGATTAGTGCATTGGTAAAGCTTTCACATAACCATTGTTATATTGTCCTATGTATAACTGCAATCTACTCACTCCTCCACATAATCTTGGTATTGAAATGCTTACTATCATTTCATGTCTATTTTAAAGTCTCCCAGTGGTAATCCTATTCCCTTTGCAGCATATCAACATTGCTCAATTTTAATTCCAATGTGTAATCTTGCATATGAACTTGTTAATATTAAATATCATTTGCTGTTCACTTGCCCAAGGGAATAGTAGATCAGAATCCTTTTGCCACACTTCTTTATTCATTTATGGGATGTGGACATCACTAGCTAGGCCAGCATTTGGTACCCATCTCAAAGTGTTCAAGCCTATCTTCTGCTCGTACTACACTCACTGTCAGCTGTACGTTTGACAAGATTATTGTTAGTTTCTGCATTCAGATAATTTATGTAGATAGGAAACTGACCCTCCAGCTTCACTATAAAGATCACCATGCAATACTCCACCCACCACAGTTATATGACATCTCTCACAAAATGCCATTCGTTTTGGATTTGGTTAAATACCCTTTCTTGTCTAATCCCCCATTCTACTCTGGATTCTCATTAACTTTGGTTTTTGTGGTAGTCTTTCGTACACATCTTTGAATCACAGTATGTTACAGGACATTCTTTTTATTACATAATTTTGTGGAGGGATATTGCAACTAAAGATTTGGCAGATAAAGGATTATGTGACAAACTTTGAACTTGTCCAGTTTTGCAGGAAGCATAGAAACACAGCACATTACTTAAATTGAAAGGCTGCAGAGCTCTGAGGTACAGAAGGATAAGGGTGCCCTGGCACGAGTTTAAAAAAAAAGTGCGCAGGTACAAGCAAGTGATTAGGAAAGCAAACGGAAATATTGCTGTTTATTGCAAAGGGAACGGAAAAGTACTGATGATTTGCTACTGCTGTACAGAACATTAATGAGACAACATTAGTGTTCAATTCTGGACTCCTTCTGTATGAGAGTCACCTGAGAGTGTCCTGTCTGTGTGGGGTTGCATATTCTCCCTGGGTCCGTGTCGGTTTCCTCCCACAGTCCAAAAATGTGGAAGGTAGGCAGATTAACTATGGGAAATGCAGGGTTACAGGGATAAAATAGGGGGTGGATCTGGGTGGGATGTTCTTTGGAGGGTTGATGTGGACTCGATGGGCTGAATGACCTGCTACCATACTGTAGGGATTCTATGATATATTCTATATAATTAGGAGCATTTCAGAAAGTTCACTTGACTAATTCCTGGAATGATGACATTATCAGCTTAGGTCTGTGTCCATTGGAATTTCAAAGAATGAAAGATGATCTTACTGCAAGATACAAGTTTACAAAGAGACACGACAGAGTGGATGCTAAATGGATATTTATTCTTGCAAGAGAGATTAGAATTGTAGGGCACAGTTTAAAAATAATGGGCTTCTCGCTTAAAACAGAAGTAGAAATTTCTTCTCTCAGATGGTTGTGGGTCTGTGAACTCATTTCCCCAGTAACTGATGGAGGCAGGGTCACTGAATATTCTTAAGGCAGAAGGAGACAGATCCTTAACTTACAAGAGATTCAAAGGTCATCAGAGTTGGTAGAAATGTGGTTTTGAAGCCACCATCAGATCAACTCTGATCTTACTGAATGACAGAGCAGGCCTGAGATGCTGAATGATCTACTCCTGTTCCTAACTTCTTTGTATGTTGTAAGTGGAGTCTATGTCATTAAATTTTTAGTTGCTGTTGGTGGAAAAGAGGGAATTCTGTTTCTCTACCTATGCTGTGAAGAAGTCACAGATCTGTTAGTCTCTTGGGCAAGCAATGAAAATATTGCATCATTCAGCCATCATGAGAATACAGTAGATACATGACGGAGCGATTCCTCTTTATACTCTGGCACAGCTGTTGCTAGCTTCTAAACAACTAGGGGAAGCCAGTAACTCTCCTCCATTAACCAAAATTTTTGTAATCTGTTTCCAATTGTGTATCATTCCAGTGGGTGAACCGTGACGTGGTATTTGCAGAGAAAGTAATTAATGAAAAGCTATGTATTTATACGCTATAATCATTAACATGCCAGTTAAAGATCAGGTTTGACCTTGTGATTCAATTTGTTTTGAATGAGATTATCTTAGGAGAAGATAGGAACCAGAAGTCATTATTGTACATTAACCCGTCGAATTCTGAATGGAAGTTAAAAATGTGATTCCTACGTGCAACACTATTTGTCTGCTTAAGGTTCTTGCAAAGATTTGTAGCTCGGGTTGTGGATGAGTTTGTTGGCTTGCTCGCTGAACTGGCTGGTTATTGTACAGACATTTCATCACCATGCTAGGTAACATCATCAGTGTGGCTTCCGACCAGTGATGTTGTTCTACTTTGCTTGGTATTTATATGATCCGGTCTGTTAAGTTGGGTTGTGGCATTTCCGGTTCTGTTCTGCATGGGTTTGTACATGGGGTCTAATTCCATATGTTTGTTGGATTGCATTACGTGTTGAAAACCAGGCCTCGAGGATTTCCGGCCTGTGTCTGTGGTTGGCTTGAGCTAGGATGGTCACATCGCCCCTGTTGTCTTCATTGTCCAACAAGCACCAGCTAGCTGCGAAACGACACGACAAACATTCCCTCATCTCAGTGCATTCAGACAATGGCTACATCGGAGGCCATACTGATGATGTTACCTACATGGTGACGAAATGTCTGCATGGTAACCAGCCAGCTCGACGAGCAAGCCAACAACTATTTGTCTGCTTACTTAAAAAAACGTTCTAATATTTGAAAATGGCAGGTATAT